TATATATATATATTACGGAATCAGGTTGGGTTAATATCGATTCATTCAAAGCTTCGTTCGCCATCGTGAATTTTCATAGGGCAACCCTATTTCCTTTGGACGGACATCCGACATCCCGACCGCGACTGCAGCCTATCCTCGAAGCAATACGCTCGCCACTCACCTTCTGACGTTCCGACACGCCGCTATTTCCGATATTCAATTGCCAGCGTTTACACGCCACGATAGACCGACCCTTCCACCCATCCGCATGTCGGAACGAACTATACCTAACCGGGGGATTCCCGCGTGACCTCCCCCTTCACGTGCCCTTTTGATATCTCGTGGAGCATTGTTTCCTTGCACGCAAAATGGTTTATTGTATACGGTAGGTGTACGAATTACACCGACATAATAAGAGGTTGCGCGGTATCGCGGAAGGATCATAGCTGATATCAATCCAATTACGAAGAGCGTTTCTCTCGTATGTATTGCAAAATCTCAAATAGCCGAGAAAATAACGTTAGAAATTCATAGTTAATTAACGTATAATATTAATATATTCGATGGAACGGGAGAATAGATCTTGTTCTGCATCTTCTATCTTGCGGTACCGAAGCAAAATTTTCGCTAAACTACTATCCGGACCGCGTCTTCGTGCTGGCTCATTCGTTCGCATGAGTTTCCAGCGGTTACCTGTAACACCTGTACACCTGCTTGTTCGACTATTCGTGCGGTGCTCGTGGCATGAGTATCGTGAATTACTCCTCCCCGGACGCCACTGACTTACATGGAAAGTTTCCTATCTGTGCTTAAATAGCTCGTAGCGGTGTCAGAGGCGGTCAAACTCGAAACCGCTCGAACGATTGGTTGCACCGAGCGTTGTATCTCTCGACTGAAAAGCGCTGCAGCATAACTGGCAAAAACGGCCAGTTTCAAAATAACACAGACGATACTTTTACATGGGTACTTATTCATCGTGATGAATTTGCAATGAGAAACTAACAAAACGAAAATATAATTCGGTTTGTCAAGTTTTTCGGTTTGTCTATTATAATTATACGTGCTATAATGTATGATCGATAGACAAACCAAAAATTAATCTTTAAATTCTAAATTGGCGTATATGAAATAATGATTTTATGGAATCGCATATATTTGGAATGCATCAGACTTTATACACGCCACAGTTGCTAAATGAAATTATTTCATTATTTAAATTATTTCATTCTGAAAATTATTCATTTTCTGTTGCACTTCTTTAGATATTGATCCAAAACCATTAATTATTATTTATTAATTTATTATTAAATAAAATTATCTATAATTTTTCTTCGCACATTTTTTAAGTATCAACCTAAAATAATTACTTTGCTCTTCTTAAGCGATCAGGATATTTGCACTCACGACAGACTTGATATTTTACCTATCTTTTTTCTTTTGCTGTTACAGTACCGCCACAGAAACCGAACATTATCGACGAACGCGGTAAAACCGTCCCAGCGGTGGCAGGCCCTTACGAAGAAGGTGGTGACATGAGACTGCAGTGCCTCGTCTCTGGAGGTAAGTCCTACTTTCTATAATGAGAGCCAGGTCAAATGAAAATACTCTAGGTATTCTCTTTCCTGCAGGCTGCCCCCGTAAATACGGCGCGAAAAAGCCGGTAGAATAATTGGTGAGAATGGGCTCTTCTATCCATTTTCTCGTTCTTGCATGTAAAACAGTCGCGCTCTCATCCTGTAGACCACGGAATCGTGTATTCTTAGTTATAGCGTCTAATTAAAACTTCACACGACCGCATTCTGATATTACGGATAAAAAATATTTCTCGGAACTCCGATGGTGCGGGGTCGCGAGAATTTTTAAAAATTTCAAACTTAGCTTGTGTTTTAATGCTACACTTTTTATCGCGTATCCTGTCTTTAAATTCTGCTCGTAATGGAAGAAATATTAAGAAATGAATATTAGAAATGTATTAGAATAAATATTAAATATTATAATTCAATATTAAAAATAAAAATAATAGAAAATAAATATAGAAACGTACGAATAAGAAATTTATACAAATAATGTATAAATGTTTTATCTGTATTCATTATACGTTATGTTCAATCTCTATTCCTAATTTTTTTATTTCTTATATTTAATATTTATTCCTAATATTTCTTCTTATTGTGTCTTACTCTTCAGATTCCTTCAGCAGTTATTGTACACAATGTGCCATAACATTGCATACAATGTCGTTACATGAAAATATATCTGAATCCCTAGTAAAGAGAATGAAAATATGAGAATATATACTTTATTATTACTGTATAGATTTTCTGAATCGCCATTTATCCCTTGCGTGCGTTATCTCCATGTAAATACGGAATTAAAAGGATACTGCTCAGATCGTTAAACGATTCGACAAAATGTCAAGTGCTTTAATGGCGATCGCGGTGCATGCATTCGTTCGGCGCTCCCTTTTATTCTATTACATTTTAATATCCGTGCGCGAACGCGCGTTGCTGTGCCGACAAGGCGAAGGCAATAACGATAATAAATTTATTTTTATTACCTCGCATGCTGCCACCCGAGGGACACGACAGTGCTATGCTGCTCTTACCATCGCTCTTCACCGCTACCTACAATTCCATTCTACAAACCCCGCGCAACTATCCTTCGTCCTCCGTTGCTGCACGTGTTTTTCTGCTTGTCCCTCCTAAACGAAAATAGGTCCGGTAAAAAATAATGAGGTCGCTCCGGTACAAGCTAGACCGCCCCTCCGACTTGCCGTCTCCCTTTAACGGGATATTCACCCTCGAGGGATTATCCGCACGCAACGACCATTATGAATTATGAATTAACGCGCACCGAGCAGCCTACACCGATGTGGGCGGTCAAAAGAGGACGAATGCACGTATATGCACAGAACTTGGCAAACTCTCGCGAAAAAGTAGTAAGACAGAAAAGAATACGTGCGATACATTGTATATTGAATATTGACATGAGCAATATATCGATTTATTGCAACATAGTTTTCTTGAAGAAAGCAATAATTCCAAAATTCATGTATTCTCGAGAAATTTTGTAACAAGTCAAATGATATAAAATATTGCACTTAATAAAATTTTCAATACGTTATCTCTTAGAAGATATTATCATAGATATACGTAATATATTTTTTGTTGAATTTCAAACAACTTCAATGTTTTCCAATAATCCAATATTGAGGGAGCACACATTAATTGATACTTAAAATAAAAAAATTTAAAGGCATTATAAATAATTTGATTTTATTTGTCTAATTGTTCGTTTAGACTGCAAACAGCAAAAAATAGCATTTTAAATACACATATCTTTAGTTGGGATTATTATTAATATCATAGTGCAGAAAAACGAAGAAAACTAAAAATAAAAGTACGAACTCTCTCTAATGTTAAAAATGTTATTCAAATTTAATACATGAATATATTTCGACCTAATATCGACACAGTCACTGTAATACAATTGAATAAATCGTATATATGAATTTAGTGCCTTTTTGCTGATTTGTTGCATTATTCACGATTTTATTGCTCTAGTCGAGAAATATAACTGAAAATCAGCCACTATTTTTATCAAATCGATTAAAGTAATAAAATTGCGAATATGACAACAAATTAATAATGAAAAAGCACTAAATTGATGTGTACGTTTTTTCAATTGTGCTGCAATTATGGTTGTGCTAGCTTAATAATGTTCTTCTTTCTTATTTCTGACAAAGCTAATAAATTTTATGGTATTTGTTTCCAGGTCGCCCCGAGCCTAAAGTGAGATGGTGGCGCGGAGAAACGCTTTTAGATTCTAAAGATGAACCAGGCGAATTTCCTGCTCTTCGTAGAAATACCTTAGTAGTTAGAGAATTGTCAAGAGCAGATCTTCATGCGGTGTTCGATTGTCAAGCATCCAACAATAATATCAGTCAACCCGTATCCACATCGGTAGCGATTGAAATGCATCGTAAGTGTATCATTTATCGCATTTTCATAACAGCGTAGTTGCTTTTAATTAATTTTTTTTAATAAATTGAAGCCAAAGCGCACGTGCGCGCGCGCGCACACACACACACACACACACACACACACACACACACACACACGCGCGCACGCACGCACGCACGCACACACACAATACTGTAAATGCTACTTTTTAATTTTTTAGAAAAAAGAAAATTTTTATTTTATTTTTTTGAAAACTGTCACTTTGAATATTCTATAAAAAAATTATATTCTATTATATATAAAAATTAGTAATAGGATAACTGTTCCTATTAATGTGCTTTTTAATCAACTTGCTTATTACTGAATTATTAAATATTGTAACTTTAATTTTATCTGCTTACAATCAATATCAGTTTTTCTTTATCAGTTTTACTTTATAATATAATTTTTGACAAAAATAAAAATGTTTTTGTCCCTATTAGTGAGTCCTCCAAGCGGCGATGGCCTTATTAATGTGCTCCCAATCTGCCTATCCACATTTGACTTATTTTAACATATAGTTACTAAAACAGATAATAAATTTAAGCTAATTGTTTAAGTTAATATATATTATATAAATCATTTCAATTATATTTATTTCAAGGTCACACTTATTACACAACATTCTCAGCTCCAACAAGGCACATTAATAAGGACAAGCTTAAAATTTTGCAGTACGTATTATTGTATTCACATTCATAAATTCCTCATATCTTTTGAAAAATATTTAAAATACTTTAATAATCAAAAAATAAAATATTATATTCGGTATCGTAATATGCATTAATAATTTAATTTAACAAGAAAAAATATTTTTTTTTATTTATTCGTGCTAATTTTCCTTATGACTTATCAAAATACAAAAGCACACTAATAGGGATAGTAATTGGGACAGTTACCTAACTAGAAATATGAACAATCAGTCTGCAAAAATTTTTAGTTAAGTAATTCTAATTTTTAAAAATATCGTGTTAAAATTTCAAAACGTTGGTAAAGATAAAAATGCAAGTCAAGAATTGTAAATCTAAGTAAAAATATCAATTAGATTTATAATGTTTTAAATTGCACCATCCATTTTTCTTCGTTTGTAATAGCAGGACTGTCCGTACCAAATATTAATATATGATATAACATAAGTATTTATAATCCATTTATACAATGAAATGCGTTTTCACAATTTTATCATTTACAACGTTTTGCCATAGCATGATTGCCATAGCTCGATTAAGAATATTAATATTGTCTCGTTGCTAGTGGCATTTTGATACGATTTTTTTAATTTTTCGCGCGACTTTTCCCAATTAAACATGAATATAAATAATAATGCGTGTAATATAAAGAAATTGCATTCGTATTATTAAGATATAAAATGTTATGAATAAGCACGCCGGCCGTTTTTTACGCACAAAGCTTAAAGAGCGGCAGATAGCTGAAACTCATGGAGCTTCGTAGTTTCGTTGTTGGACCGTAGTTACAAAGTGTAACACCGCCTGCGGTCTCTCAGGAGGATAAATCCAAAGGGTACAATCGATCCGCCTAGCCGTACCCACCGCTTTCCTCTGTGAATCGGCGCAAAAGGAATGCATTTGCGAATCGGGCCAAAGGGAAAATCTGCGTTGTCGAGTAAACGAAGCTGAATACCGGAACGGGAAAGTATTTAACCCCGAGCCTCGGCTTCGACTCTGCAATCCCGTTTATCCTAAGCTCCCAATTTCTTCTTTCTCTCACCAGTTTTGACGTCTCATTCTTTTAGTTTAGGTCACGAGGAAGAATTGCGGGGCAATATTAAATCCGGCAGACAACAAAGATAGTGGACTTTAACATAATTTTTACATAATGATCAATGTTTATTTTCTCGTATTTTTTCCTACGGATTGTAATACCTTTGTAACCGTATAAAGTATGCAATTATTGTGAATTCGATATTATTTTGTGCTTACATATATAAACTGTATATTACATGGAAAAAACGATTGTGCTGAAATATTTAAAAATTCACCTATAGACCTGAATTCTTTTTGAACTATCAAAATAATTATGCAGAATGCATAAACTGGTTACTAAAATGTAGAACATTTTTACAGTATTTTTTGTCATCAATGTTTGAGTGTTATGCATAATTTATTAGTATAAGTATATTTAACGAACCAACAAAATCATTTTCAAATCTGTTTATTAAATTCTGGGGTATTTCAGCAAAACCGTTCTTTCCATGTATACAAAAGTATACAAATACATGTAATATTTTATATGAGATTGATTTAAATAGACTGAGTTATTCTCAGCTTTAACATATACATATATACTGTAACGTGCAATCGATCCGTTGACCGAATAACGTTATATACGTCAAAATAATCAACCCAAACATCGCTCGGCGCAATTTGTCTGGAGGTTACTCGAGACAAATGAAACGTCTTCCAATGAGACGTAAATACAGGAAAGAACAAGAGAGAGATGCTCAGAAGGTCACAAAGAAGTGCGATAGCGGTTAAGAAAAGTAAGGCGAAATAGAATCGAAGGGCGATGCACCGAGGTAAGAGTCGAAACGCATAATGTTCCCTGATGGGAACCCAGGAGAGCGACGACGGGTTGCGAGCTCGATTCCGGAAGCTCTCGGATTTTTATTAAATTCCAAGGAGAAAGAGGGGCTTCGGGGCATCGGAGGTCGCGCGGAAAGTCATCGCGGTTTCCTTCGCTTTACCTCGTTTTCGTCGTGAAGCGACGAGCCGCTCCTAAAAGTAGCTCTCCCCATTTTGCTGATGCTTATCGACAATGTCGTAGCCTTATTATCTTCTCAGAATTGGATATTCCTTCCACTTCTCGCGATGTTTCAACCTTGGCGGAGAGCTACTAACGCGTTCACAAAGAGAATTAATGATTTCAGCAGAGAAAAAACTTTCCCTAGCATCGAAGATGAACGAATATAAAAAAAATATATTGTTGCACCGTGGATTTTTTTTGCATATTGAGAGAAAAATATTTGATGTGTTTGTGTCTATTATTACATAATAAAATAATGAAACTCCATTTTTATCATTATTCTTGCTACAAGCAAGTCAACAATAATTATTGTATTTATACACGGAAAAACAATTTTTCTGAAGCAATTCTAAATAAAAAAAAATAAACATTTGACTTGGAAAACAATTATATCTACAGTTATTTTCGAGACTAACTATATATTTTTTGTATATAAATATATTTATTATAGCAATAATAAAAAATAGATCCTAACAAAATTATTCCAATTTTAATTACAAATACCAAACATTTTTCTCTCAGTGTGTAGTTTCATAATTGGCGAGGAAAAATATTGTCTGTCGCAGGAACAATTGACAGAATGTAAATTTTTCGGAAAACCTTAAATGCATGTTTAAAAAAAAAACGCAGAAAACAAAGGCGGAACAATCACCAGAGTGTGAACTCTCTCTAAATTTATCTTTCACATAACACATAAAATTTTTAACGAAAGCTTAAGCGACGACGCGAGCTTAAGCGAAATATTAGCAGTGACGTGCATTCACGCATGCACGCCATATATGATGAGGATGGTAATAAAAACGTCGATGGGCGCTCTTTAGCAAAGTGATAATACGTGCTTCTTCCTACGAAAAAAAAAGAAAAGAAATACGATTTTCATCGAGGAATTTACGAGAGGAGGTGAAGTCGAATGTCGACGAACGTCTACTACGTTCGGGAAATTATCGAAAATCCATCCTTCTTTTTGCTCCACGGCGAAAAGCGAATGGATCCTTTTTATTGGACGCGTGTATTTAACTGCACATCGACAACGTGTGAATAGACGATGAACAAAAGCGAGCGATTTTTATGCATGCAGCGAATGATTTCGCGGCGAATGTTGTAAACGCGCGCTAATTATCATTTTCGTCGTTTCGCGTTTACGGACAAGCCGTTCAGAAACCACGAACGTCATATAATTAAACTCGGGAGAGACGAATTTTCGTGCGTACATATGTGCGTCGACAATTCCACGTCGTTGAAATATTCGAGTAATGATACATTAGTAATGATCCATTACGGACGGCATCTTCCGCGCAACGATATCCCATACGAATCTATATCATTCGCGGTTTGCAAACAACGCATATCGCCCGATGTTATTATTCTCGTAAATGAGCGACGAACGTGCGACAAGCCCGGTATGATCGATAAGGCGTCAAGCAGTTTTCCCTTCCCTTCTCTTTTTTCTTTTCTTTTTATTTTACCATGCATCACATTCACTGTATTCTGTTTCATTTTACTTTATCTTCATTTTCCTTGTATTGTTGTACATATTCTTTTCCACTCAATCTGTAGATCTTTCGCAATTTACTTATCAACTGTCATACTTATTGTTAGCTTTTTCTTAATTTAAATTTATTTTGTTAATGTCTTCTTAGAAAAACCCTATACTTGCCCTATATTTTCTAATAAACATTTTCTTTTTCTCTCTTTAATTGTATATTACTTTTAATTGTATATTACTTTTCTTTTTTTTTATAATCTTATTATTTTAAAGAACACACTTTTTGTAGTTAGGGTCTTTCAATTTTTATAATGTATTATTTCATATACATGTATATTTTATATGTATAATGTATTTGTGTGACAAACTCGAAGGGACTGTGTCTCAGAATCGCCAAATAAACGGCGATTCAATCTCTCTTTCTTTTTTTTTCTAACCCGATATAAGAAACGTAAAGTAAAAAATTAATGGCAGACTCGCAAGATATCATCGTAACATTATCCTATCTGGTCGCGTATTGCAAACGCGACTCATGAATTCGCATCGTTGAACGTCACTGCAAATTGTTGCCTACCATGTTTTAATGGTGATTACAATAAATCGCATACGAGCACTTTGCTTTTTCCCGGAGTCGCTTTTATCGCGTCTCTCATCCCCCTTTCCTCTTTTCGGCATAAAAGCTTGACGCACGCCCGTATCTTTTGTCGTATATCCGTCATGACCGAGTGATG